GAGCCTATCGGACCTATCTCCTGGCAGTCGAGCAAGCAGGAATTAATCGCCCTCTCTTCAGCAGAAGCAGAATACATTGCACTCTGCTCAGCCACCAAGGAAGGACTGTACCTTCGCGAACTCATGGAGGAAGCCAAGCTAGCCCAGTTACCCAGCTTCACCCTGTTCTGCGACAACCAGTCCGCAATTCGCATCGCCAACAAGAACGGCTTCGCGAACAGGACGAAACACATCGCCCTGCGATACTTCTTCGTGAAGGACGAGATCGAGAAGGGGAGACTCGAGCTGTCATACTGCCCCACGTCCGAGATGGCAGCTGACTACTTGACCAAGAAGCTCGGAAAGCAGAAGTTCAAGTACTGCATGCTGCTGACTGGACAGAGCCACGTCACCAGCAGCGACACTCCAGAAGCGAAGGGGAGTGTTGGAAACAACTAATTCTAAAGCGCCTCTGTCGTGTCGAAACACCAAGCCACAATCGAAACGAAGCATATCGAAGCACCGACGAGTCAACCCTCGGAGGTTGAGCAGTTGCTGGAGGTTACGCGAAAGTCAAAGGTCAGCAACCTTTGACCTGACAAGTACAGCGCGACAGCAAGGACACACAACTGACTCGCTACAAGGGCAGTTGCCCGAGTCGTCACTGTATCGAACCGCAACAGCAACAATAAAACAGTTATAGTTAGATCCTTTCATATTCCTTGTACTCTTATATAATCTTGTATCTCTTTGCTTTAATCAATCTACTTTGCCCTCACACACCAGCGCGAGCTGGTTCAACTTCTTCATTAAACGCTTCTGCTATTACATCGTTCCTACCCAGAGTTCACCCCTGCAAAGATCCTAAGGGCTGTTCTCAGCCCAACAAACACCAGCTGCCGTACCAGTGGAGATGACAAGGATCGGGGGAAGGGAGAAGGATGAGGCCAAGGGTGGAGAAGGAGGGGGCCAAGGGAGAAGGGGAGAAGGAGAGGGGGTTGTGAAGAGGGATAGTAATTAGTGGACGGACGAAGGGAGCAAAGCGAGGATGCAAACATGAGGATGCTGTGCCACTTGCGTGCAATGGACAAAACAGGACCCGTAAATCCAATACGATGCATGATGAAGCACTCCCCTGTACTCTCACAGTTGCATGTGAAGCAAGGGGCCACATGGTCGCCTTGCCTCGCTTTCTTGCGCTCTCGCAGTTTGCTCAAGCTGGACACTTGTTATTTCTTGCAACTGCACTAGCCTACAGGCTACTGCGCGCCACCCTGCTAGAAACAGCTACATGGATCGAGCAGAGCAGAGGAACGAGGCCATGGCTACAAACGGACTATCCTAATCATTACTGAGCCATGAATAATACGGTATGGAAAAACAGAAACACATGAGGTGGAAAACCGTCAGACGAATCAGACAAGAGGTCCATCGGCGTGTCACGTTGCTGTGCACATGCAATGTGATGTGAAGTGGAAATTGATACTGTGGGTTAGCACATATACGGTAGCTACCGGCATGCATTCACTTGTTTAGAAACGGTGGAACATCCAATTTTGTTGACTGCTACACTCCAGACATAAGCCACATACTTCAGTTAACCTACAGCGCCATAGACGCCCTGAGGGGAGGTGATGCGAAAGGAGGCGTCATGGAGGGAGGCGATGTGTGGGGGGGGGGGGGGGGGGGAGGGAAAAATGGGTGGCGATAAAGAGGCGATGCAAAAAGAGGAGGGGATGTGGAAGAGAGGGAGCGAGTGTTGGCATTGCAGTTGACCGCTGGGAAGGTGTGACGTCCATGCGGGTACAGCCTGCTGCTGCCCCCCCACTCGCTGCAGCGCAATGCCCTGTGCTGCCCCTCTGCCATGCAGTGAAGCGCACAAAAGGATGGGAGGGGGTTGAATGGGATGAGACTAGGGGACGCAAGGGTAAGGGAGTGGCGCGTGAGATGGGAGAGGGTGCATGGGATGGGCGGGGGTGCATGGGAAGGGAACAATGGCCGTGACGGCCGAAACATCCCACGGAAGCAGCAAGACAGAGCAAGCAATGGCCGTGTGAGGCACATCTCACTGCCCCCACCCTCCCCTCCCATCACCCCCAAGTCCAACCCCCCCCACCACACATGGACGCACCTGGCGCTACCCCTGCGCTGCTGGCTGGGCCGCCGCACGTTGTTCCAATCGCGCCCGCTTCAATGCCTCCCCCAGTGGCCGAAGTTTCTCCGGCAACCAGTCTCCCCAATTTTCCCTGTCCGCCACCACCTTGGCATGTTTCACCTCATACCACCAAGGCACCGCGGCATCCATATTATCCCGTACACAATTCACCTCATCCCCCGTTAAGAAATCTTTCACCTTCCCCTTCAATCCTGGCAACAAACTCACTCCCTCTGGCCCCTGAGGTAGCACCGTGTGCACAACTACTGTGACCCTCGCGAAAACCGCCGCTGACAGCTGGGTCACGAACTCCCCCCCAGTGTATGTTACCAATTTTTCTTTACCCATCACTGCAGTCCTACATTCTTACACACCCCCTATTGACCCCTCTCCTCCCCTCTCCACCCCTCCCCACCGCTCTGCACCATGGCAGATGTCGATATTGTTCCCGGCGCCCAGTCCAGGGAGGGAGGGCGAGGTGCAACTGACACTTTGGGACTTTCCTGGCCCGCTCAAGCACCACACGGTGGCGCCACAACTCATGCAGGTGGGGTTGGGTGGGGTGCGGTACTGCGCCTTTCGCATGGCAAGTACGATGCAGGTCGGTCGGGGAGTGTGGGGTGTAGCTGACGGTGCGCGACTTCCCCGGCCCGCTCAAGTACCACACTGTGGCGCCGCAGCTCATGCAGGTGGGAGGGTGAGGGTGGGTGTGGCACTGCGCATGTCGCATGCCATGCAGGTGGGGGGTTGGCTTGTGACTTCCCGGCCCGCTCAAGTACCACTCAGTGGCGCCACAGCTCATGTAGGTAGTCGGTGGGCATATGCCAAGCACAATGTAGGTGCCGCTGCTGATGCAGCTGGAATGGGGGGCTGGGTGGAGCACCTCAAGTAGTAGGGAGTTTGGTTGTGGTGGTTCGCTGCATGCCATGTCACATGGTAACAAGGTGAGGTGGAGCCTCTCATGCAGCTCACAGTGCAGGACTCTCCTGGCCCCCTCAAGTACACCTCTGTTCTGTGGCACCTCAGCTCGTGCAGTTGATACGGGGGGTTGGGTGCACATGTCGCATGCCAAGTGTTAATTGGTACGTGGCTGTGCTGGTCCGCTCAGTTACCATGCAAGTGGTCTAGGGGTGTGGTCATGCAGGCAAGTGCGTGAGGGTCAGGTCCCTTGTCCCATGCTGGCACCATGTCACATCTCCACCCTTTCCCCAACCCATTCCCTTCTGTCCCAGTTGGTGGCAGCAGCACGGCAGTTTGCGGCGCCAACAGCAGAGATGGTTGCATTGGGGGAGGGCAAGGATGGGCACGAGGACGTCGTACAGACGGAATGCTTATCAAGCCTAGGATGTTATTTGCATGACAGACGCAGCCTGTCATTGGCACGCCATTTGCCTTGCTGCATGCCTTCCCTCCCTCGCACACTGGGGCACCCAAATGCTGTGGCAGGCGCACACCTCTGCCCTCCCCCACCTCTCCTTTCTCTCACCTCTCCTTTCCGCACTCTCTCCTCTCCCTTCCGCACTCTCTCCTCTCCTTTCCGCACTCTCTCCTCTCCCTTCCGCACTCTCTCCTCTCCTTTCCGCACTCTCTCCTCTCCCTTCCGCACTCTCTCCTCTCCCTTCCGCACTCTCTCCTCTCCCTTCCGCACTCTCTCCTCTCCCCTCCTCTCTCCCCACCCACAGGCTGTGTGTGATTGGTCTGTTCAATGCCGACTCCCCTCTCGACCAGCTCAAGCGCACGGCAACCAAGTGGTACCCCTGGCTTTTCCACACCATCTCACGACACCTCATTGCACCGTCTGGTAACCCCACTGTCCCTTAATCTCCCTCATCCACGTGTCCCCTCTTTCCCATGTCCCCTTATGCGCATGTCACCTTACGGCATTACGCACTCATGCTGCACCATCCACATGGCAAAGGAGTTTGAATGGTGGATATCATGAGTGAGCAGGTGGATGACGTCGACGTTGTTGCCGCCAAGGAGCACACAATTCTGCAGGTCACCACATTGTGGTGGCCCTTTCACCCCTGGTGCCCTGGTGGGTCAGCGCATGGTGGCCCTGTGGGTCAGCGCATGCCTATGACCCCTGTTGTCACCGCGTGTTTGCACGGTGCCCTTGCAGTGATTCCCTTGCCCTTTTCCCCGCCAACCCTGCCATTCTCCCACCATCCGCCTCACGATCACTGCGGCATTTCCCTTACACCTTGCATCCCACAGTTATCCCACCAACCCGGCCCGTGCCTGTCACTCCCGTGTTGGTGCATGTTCTGCCCCTTTCCAACTTTGACCCTAAGCCTGTATTACTCACCTGTTGACCCTCATGCCATTCCATATCCTATGTGCTCACCATCTCCCATGTGCGTCATCCCTACTCACTGCTCTCCCTCAGTAGCACTGCTCTTGCGCGTTGCGTTACTTACTTCTCACTCAACCTCGTCCTCCCACACTCCCCTCCCTCTTTCCTCTCGCATGGCAGGCTGACAAAGAGGCAGAGGAGGAAGCTGCCAGAGAGAAGAAAAAGAAGAGCAAGACGAAAAAGAGCAAAGCTGTTGACTCGGACATCAGGGATGAGCTGTAGCTGTGCTATAGCTGGGCTGAAGCTGGAAAACACCTAGAGTACTGTATTGTGGTTCTGCACCACCTTATGGATTGTGCAGCAATGCTCACATCTTGATGCAAGTCACTAAGCCAGTAGTTTCCAAATTACGTTGATCAATTGGTTTTTGTAAGGTGCATGTAACAATGATGATTATTGTACTTGAATAAAACCAATATCTTTGTTCACACCAGAAGAAAGTAATCAAATGTGGCTACTGGTATCTGAAACACTGTACAACATTTATACCACGAACCCATCTGCGCCCAGCTACCGTCCGCGGGCCTGTAGCTTTGCCTCGGCGGCCCTTCTCTTCTCCCTCTCCCTCTCCGTCACGCCAATGAGTTGCTGCACCATGCCATCGAGTTGCTCCGCCGCACTTTTTTGTTGCTCCACCACGCCATTGAGTCTCTCCACCTCCCGCTGTAGACGGTCCCTATCTGCCGTCACTTCTTGTAGCATCGCATCCCTGCTCTGCAAGTCGTCCTCCACCATATGCAGAACCCGCTCCACCCTCTGTCATGCAGCCGACAGGAGGACCAATCAAGGGAGGCAGGACCAATGAAGAGGGGGGGGCGAGATAAAAGAGTGTTTAAAGCTGATCACTGGTCCAGTCGAAGAAAGGGGCTTTCGCTGTAGCCAATGACAACCGCTCAACCATCAACCGAATTTCTAGCACCACTGCCAATCTAGAGCATGCAAGCTCGGAGAAAACAGGATAGGAGAAATGTGAACGTGGCAGAAGAGCGTGCTAGGGAGAAGCGTAGAGAAGCAGGTAATGAGAGGTGAAACATTCATACCTCAAGGCGCGTCTTCCTTGGAGCAGGCGGTGCTGTGGGCACGGCAAGAACCCTTTTCCCCTCCGCAACACCAGGCATCGGTGTGAGTGCAGGGAGCGGTGTGGGTGCAGGGAGCGGTGTGCATGAGGTGGTGAGGGAGGGCGCGACCACATGCTCCTCTGCGTGACTCGACTGAGGCGTGCAGCACAGCGAGTCCCCCTCCTGCACCCCATGAGGACGATATGGTGGCCATGTTGGCATGGGGCATGTGCAAGCGGGGGAATGAGAGTGCGACAGCAGTGAGTGGGCGAACGGGGACTGTCACATGTAAGCAGAAAGAGTACATAGCCTGGGTCAGCCACATGGGGGGGGGGGGTGTTGGGAAGAGCACGCAGGGTGGATGAGCCGCACCTCTGAGTCCTCTCCTTCCCCTGTATCCTCCTGCACCTCTTTTCAAGCCTTGTCCTTTTTACCCTCTAAGATCTCCACGTGCTGCACCAACACCTGTCTATTCTGAGGCGCCTCTGAGATCCAACATAGACTCACCTCGTTGGCCTTCTTAGCCTCCAGATTCGCCAACTGCTGCTCCAGGAATTGCTTGTCCCTTACAGCTGCCTCTGCCTTCTCCTCTGCTCGCCTGGCCATCGTCTTTAGCTCCTCGTTTTCCTTCTTCAGCTCCTCCCGTTCCTTCTTCAGCTAAATGGGCAAATGGTGTTTGAGGCAAAGGGCCGCAAGGAAAAAGTTGAGAGGGGGTTCACATGGCATCACTGCTCCTCTGCTCGCCTTCCCACCACCTTCAGCTAGATGAATGTGGCAGTAGTCCTCATGACAAACGAGCGTACAGACAATATGAGAGAAAGAGTCAGTGAGGCATGATCTTGCATCATTGAGCGGACTAATAAGTGAAACACTCGTTTTCTGGTTGAAGTGTAGGATGCGAGGGCAGCAAGCACAGACAGGACTAGCACGAATACAGGGACAGGGAGGTGCATGCAAGGAAGAAAGCCCTCTCTACCTGCTCAATAAGCGTGTCAATAGTTCTCACTGCCTTCATCAGCACACTGGTCCGGCGCACATCCTCCTTTGCCTTCTGCTGTTGCTCCTTCTGCCTAGCGGAACGGCGAGGACGGCATCATCGATGTGAGTCGCGATGGCACAAAAAATCTTGCATCTCCTCCAAATACTTCAACTTCGCCTCTTTCTCCCTCTCATCTCATACACTACAAACACAATAATCACAGTCGTACACATCATGCATTTAGCCCACATATGAAGAGACTCACCGCCTTCATCCCCCTCAGCTCCTCCTGCTCCTTAGAAACCGCCTGCAGTTGCTTCGCCAGCGCCTCCTTCGCCTTCACCTCCTTCCTCAGCCTGGTTTCCAGCGTATCGTGCTCTGCTGACGAGCGCTGCTCCAACACCTTAATCCAACAAGCACAACAGAAGTGTGAGACGGGGAGAGCAGCGAAGTATGATGGAAGCAGCAAGGGATGTTAGGAGCAACAAGGGATATTGGGAGCAGCAAGGGTTAGTGGGAGCAGCGAGGTATGATGAGAAAAACAATGGATGATAAAAAGCAAGGGATGGGAGCAGCAAGGGATGACGAGAGCAGCAAGGGATGAGGGAGAAGCAATGGATGATGGGAACAGCGAAGGATTATGTGAGTGCAAGATGCTGCTGTGAGTGCAAGATGCTGCTGTGAGTGCAAGATGATGCTCTTACTGCACTCACTCCTACTCCCTCCTCCCTGCCAATGAGGAGCTGAATCAGTTTCAGATGCTACCGCCAGCTACCGCTCCAAGGCCTGCCTGCCCTGCAGCGCCACTAGCTTTGACATCTTTAGGCGCCTCTGGCAAAAAAAAAAAAAACCTCACCTTGTTGCCATTTGAGAGCTCCAGGATCTCCAGTCGCTGCTCCAAGGCTTCCTTGACCCGCACAGCTGCCTGCGCCTTCTCCATCGCTCGCCTGGCCACCCCCTTCAGCATCTCCCGGTCCTTCTTCAGCTGGATGGGCAAATGGCATTTGAGGGGCAGCAGATAAAAATTTAAGAGGAGGTTCACACAGCAGCACTGCGTCTGCTCCTCTTCTCCCCTGCCCACCACGTTCAGCGGGATGGATGAGGCAATCGGTCGTATGACAAACGAGCCAATTGATACAGACAGAATGGGAGTAGAATACAGTGACGCGTGTTCTTGCATCGTTGAGCAGACTCATAAGCAAAAGGTAGGATGACAGGGCAGGGAGCACAGACAAGGCTAGCATGACATGTACGTGCAATAAAGGGACAGGGAGGTGCATGCAAGAAAGAAATCCCTCTCTACCTGCTGAATATCCCCGGCCATCCTTCTCACTGCCTTCATCAGCACATCGATCCGGCGCACATTCTCCTCTGCCTTCTGCTGCTTCTCCTTCTGCCTAGCGGAACGGCGAGCGACGGCATCATCGATGTGAGTCGCGATGGCGTAGAAAATCTCCACGCCCTCCGTGGTCTCAAACTCGAAGGTGTGTTGTGAGTCCGCCTCGCGCTGTGAGTCCGCCTCGCGCTGTGAGTCCGCCTCGCGCTGTGAGTCCGCCACAATGAACTCCAAGGACAGCGTGGCGGGGCTGCCGCAATACTCTATGATGTCGTACAGCTCCGCTGAATGGATGTACTCTCTCGGGACTGGTCGCAGAAAGTGCACCTGTGGAGGGAGGGAGTGTGTATGTAGGAAGATGCTCCTTGTTTCGTTGCTCATACACAGCTCTTTAAATCCTTCATGCCCCTCACTGGAAAACAGCGTGACTTACCCCGCGCTTATTGACGCCGATGATCACTCGCTCCGGCAGCAATCCGATGGGGTCCTGAACGCGCCTCGCGTGGTAAAAAACTGACCCGCCATATGGGAGGGCTCGAATAATTCCCAACGCTTGCTGCATCGCGTCTTGAGGTGTTGATTGTGACTGGATCTGGATGGCAGGGAGGAGTGGGAAGGCGAGAAGTAAAGACAGATAGAGTGAGTGTGAGGCAAATGCGCATACCCATATCCATGTGCCAGTGATGAGGGGGTTTCTGACTTTTTGTATCCGTGTGATGCACATGCTGCAAGTGTTTGAAATATTCTCACAATGCAGCCACTAGTAGCACCACCATAGACAGCAGCAGCAGCATCACCAAAAGCATCATGACCATAAGCAGCAGCAACCAGCTTTGTATCACCATCAGCAGTCAGAGGTAAAAAAATTGCAGAAAGCTCGCCTGATGCAGTCTTTCTTGGAGCACTTTTGGCTGCCCCAGGCCCCCAGCCTTGCTTGGGCTGGCCTTGGGCAGTGCCAGCAGCACCCCGTTAATCAACAGCAGCTCTTATAACAGGGTGGATGCTCACCAGCTCCTTGTAGCGAGTGAGAACATCCATTGCCCACTCTGGCTTCTCCCTCAGAGACTGGAGCTGCGCAGGGATCCGTTTCTCCACCTGCGCTTGCCAGTCCCTGGGAGAACGAGGGCAGATTTGGAGAGAGAAAACGAGGGAGGGAAGATGGGAGGGAGGGAGGGAAAGTAGGATTGAGAGAGGGATTGGTTACCACAAGCAATCCGCCAAACTTTTGTGCTCGCCCTCTAACAACACAGCTCCGAATTTCGCCCCAAATTTCTCCCAGCGTGGCGCTTGTTGCCTTTTCTCCCTTGCCTGACACTCCGCCAATACTTATCAAGACACCCCGACTAGAGCACACTCATGAACAGACTGCAGAGGTTCATCCAAGGGGATTGGCACTCACTTTACACGGCAGCAGTCGAGGCAATAAACCTGCCACCACCACCACACAACCAACCAGAGGACACCGGGAAAATCGCCAGAATGGAAGGCGCGGCAGACTTTGACGAGCAGTGATGGCGCTAGAATCAACCTCAGTGTTTAGGCCTCTGCTACTGTGCTCGAGGCACTTCGAGGGAAACCCCCAAATGCCGACCCCACCATTCCAGTCGCCTGCCTGAGGACCCTTCCCCACCCCCGCTTGCCATCTCTGAACTGGCCTTTACCAAGTTGCTTACCAGCTGCGAGAACGGGGTCGGCGCCGGTCCATGAGGAACCACATTTGAACACCTTCAGGACACTGCACTTACAAACACGTCCGTCCTCAACCTCCTCCACGCCGTTCTCAAAGGCAACCTCCCACCTCTCACCTCCGTTGCTCTCATGAAGTCGGATGGGGCGGCTCGGCCAATCGCTGTCAACGCCCAAACGCCCAATCCAGGCCAGACCACTCACTTGGTGGTGATGGGGTCCAGAGTGGCGTTGGCTGGCTTGTGCAGTCCAACATCGCTGCCCAGGCGGAAAACCCGCCTCTCGAAGGTCCACACACGGCCCTGTCCCCTGGGGACTGTTTGGCCGTGCTGGAACCCGTGCGCGAGCCCCAGTAGGGCAGGACAAGGTAGAATAGGCTAAGTGTGCTTGTTTGTTTGATTGCCATACTTACCGTGCACATGTGCATAACCCCTGCCCTATCAATATGATGACCGTTTGAAATGACGGAAACCTGGGCAAGGCGCTTCACGCACTCACCCCCACTGACCTTTCCCCCTTTCCCCTCCATTCCCCCACACACCCAATACAGCAGGCCCACGTGACTGAACTTACGGTGTCGCTTCAGGCTCAGGCAGCACGCCAAGGTCGACAATGAGCTGAAGCGCCGTGAGCTGCGCCATGTCATCCGGGGGCATGGGGTAGTTGCCCTCTCCGTAGTCTTGCATTGCTTGGATATACGAGAGGCGGATGAAAAGTGGATCAGTAATTGTCTTCTCGTTGTCCCGGAAGATCTTCTTGCGGAACATCAGGCGCAGCTCCACTTGTCGCTCTCTCTTCTCGCCGAAGCTCCTCATCTCAGCCACAACGTCCCCCATATAAGAGTTCTCCTCAATGCTCATGTAGTCGTCTGCACAACAAAGGAACAACGCAACGATGTGATTGCAATTGTGAACGGAGGCATAAATGCTTCGTCCAGTGAAAGAGCATTTAGCCAAAACTGACAACCCCAAGTTACTTCAACCACAACTAGCTTGGAACTTGAAACAATTACAGACCGTGTTCTTTCACCAACATTGTATACGCCAAATTACAAAAATTTGCTTGACACTGCAGAATACATAAATGTAACCACAGAATACATGATTTACTCATTTGTAACAGCTCTGTCATAGCCCGAACCAGCAGTATGTCTGAACTCACTGGCTATGTTGTCGGGATTGTCGTTGGCTAGAGGGGTGTATTTCCGGTGCTCGAACAAGCCGAACACCTGAAACTCCCCTAACCGAATGCTGCTCACAATGCTCTGCAACCAGCATGACAGTAGCAATCAAGGTCACACAGGGCATGTGAGTTACATGGAGAGATTTAGATAGGAGAGACACCCCCAAGGTTTCAAACTTCCTATGGCCTGCTGAGATGTGGGGATGCAGCAGGGAAGAGAGGCGATGATATAGCGGAGAGGAAGGGAGATGAAAAAGGGAAGAGGTGGGGAGATGAATGGGGGGAGAGGAGGTGAAACGTGGCTGTGCATATTAGCAGCAACACCCCAAGCATCCCAAAGGTTTCGAACTCCCCATGGCCTGCTGAGATGTGGGGATGCAGCAGGGAAGAGGGGCGATGATATAGCGGAGAGGTAAGGGTTATGAAAGGTGGGGTGAGGGAGATGGTGGGGCTTGGTAGCAAGCGCTAACCCAAGCTTACCGCCCAGAAGGTTCAGCCTCAACACGCGGGGCTGCCCCACTCCGTGCCACACTCTCCTCATGTCCTCGAACCGATTCCTCTACCCATTCGTCGATCCGAATCCACTCTCTACCTCCGTCCTTTCCCCATTTCTCTACCACACACACCTTGAAGATCTCTGCAATGGTTGTGGATGCGTCGTACTCCACCTCCTCGAATGTATCGTCCACAAAAAACACCTTTGTCTTGACCTTCATCAGCTCTCTCCCCATCGTCAGCGCGAGCAGCTCATCAACGGTCGGAACGGTCTCCCTCGTCCCAACCTCCATCGCCTTGTTGAGCGCATGCCACGTGGCAATCGCCTGCGACTTCACCTCCTCGTCTACCGCTGCATCGTTCGCGACCTCCTCCACGTACTCGGTCATAGGCGTCCCGAGATGCTCCCCCGGCGGTGCCACTGACGCGCACAGCATCTGCAAAATCGTCTCACCCCAACCAAACCCGAAATTGACCTGGAAGTCACCTTTGGGTCACGAGCCTTGGTGAGTCGAGAGTCAATGGGTCCGTCAAGTTGGGGTCACTCAACATTGACCCTAACCTAACCTGGCAGCCAACCCAAAGGTGACGCGCAGGTCAGCACTGTTCATCCGAGTCGTCCTCCCGCAATAGAGTGATCCATTACATGCTATAATTTTTTACTGTACATGCTACACCATAAAATAATTCGAATTCGTATACTAATGATTAATGTTGCACAGTATTCCAACATTTCCAATTACCGTAGGGATCAGGAAATACAATATATTAAGGTGAAGTATACACGCAAGGGCAGTCGCTATACCACGGTACACTGCACACCAACTATACGCATCTTAGCACATCTACATAGCGCTCAAGACCATACCATCTACTAGACATGGTAAAATCAAGGTAACCGAACGATAGCGATCTTGCAATCCGACGACCACCTGCCACACACCAGCAGCAGACACAGGAGGCAATAAACGCAGCCAGAAAACATTAACATGTAAGAAACAGTACATACCACAGTGCTGTACAAACCGTTACACCCACACAAAAAATGTTCGTACTGATTGTCCTCCACATAATCATAGCAAATTCTGCACACAACTCAGAATACAAACGCTGTGAAAGAAAACACGAATACATGTAATGTCAAGTAGGGAAGCCGCTTACACGCGAATGAAAACCATGTTGTAATAAATATCAAAACGCCGCCACATGTACTGCCATGTTGGGTAAAGGAACGTGAATTTAAAAGGCATGCTTCCTCACCCACGTAGATGTCGGCTGCTCGTAGCAGCGTGAGCCACGGGGAAGAAGCCACGACAGGAGCCGTTGCTGCGCCCTGTACCAATAGCCAACATACAACCCAGTCAAAACCACGTTGTTATAAATAAACAACAGACCGCCACGTGTACTGCCATGTTGAGAAAAGGAACAGGAAAAGTGCGCGCTTTTTTACCAGCTCGATGGTCACCCACCCACGGCTGCTAGAAGCCACGATTGGAGCCGTTGCTGCCCCTCGTTAGACCTTCGTCGCTCCCCGCCACCTGCCCAACCACCCCCGCACCATCGCTCCTTGCCACCACCCGTTGCCTCCCTTCCCACCAGCAGCTCTGACGCCGGCGCTCTGTCGCCAGCTCTGACGGCAGCTCTGACACCGGAGAAGGGAGAACAACCTTTAAAGAAATAAACAAATTTAAAGGATATGGGCGTATCAGCTGCACGACAGCGCAAATGGTAAGAAGTTGATCGTTGCTTTTGTTGTATAAGGAGACCGCATCTGCACGACGAAACATGACTCGTTCGAACCTCATCGCTGCCTGCTAAATTTCCTAAGTGCAGGGTGCATAGAAAAGCAGACACAAAAGTCGAGCTGCTGTAAGCAAATGAACATAGACTCAGCAGAGCAAAGTTCAATGGGCTATCTTTGTGACTAAACTAGGTTTATCGCGGTGTTACACGTTTCATAAAGGTTTAGCAACGGTACTGGGGTTGGGCGAGGTATGCTGAAAGGGTTGGGGAAGAAATTGGATGACTTGGAATATGTGGTTCACTGTTGTTCTGTGGAGCGACGGCAGCTGTGCAGTTTTCGGCGCAGCTGGCAGCTTTTGATTCGACCAGCAGTGCATGACAGGTGGCTCAAATTTCCAGCATTGAAAACGTACTGAGCTGGCAGTTCTTTCCGTTTTCAGACCAATGGCCATGCCACAGTGTACAAGTCTCACCTGATTCTGGTCCCCCTGCTCGTGATAGGCTGCTCTGATTTCATGTGTTTGGGGTTAGGCGATCGCGCCAGGGGGGGGGGGGGGGGGGGGGGGGGGGTGGGGGAGGGGGGGGACGTGTTTTGGCAGGTGGGTTGTAACATTGTTTCGCCTACAGGTCGCCCTTGGTGACGCGACGGGTGCTACGCAGGTCGCGCGCGAAATGGCGACATGTTACCAGATTCGGGTGTTATAGCATTTTTTTTATTGTGTACCAGGCATCCTAGTACAAATTTCGTACCTCCAAGAATATATCATAAATAAAAATGCCAGGCAGCATTTAGAACTTTTTTTGGAGGAAATTTTTTTAAAAAAATGAAACTCATATTATCATATTCATTTTTACAAGTTGGAAACAGCGTTAATTACAAAGAGCATATGTTGGGAATACTAATCTGTTATGAGTGTAACTGCAATTGATTTGTTTCGCCTTATTTCAACTATTCAGGCCATGTTTTTTTTTCCGAACGTGTGCGATTCGTCAATGTCAGCTCGAAGTCGCGACCCGGGAAATTTCGACGTACGATTGGCTAATGTTTTCCCTCGATGCGACCCTAGCCATTTATGGCATGTTATCGCCTTCCGATTGGCCAATGTTCAACGGAATAGCGGCTCGAACTTTTTTGGAGCGCGCTGCGGTGTCAGGTTGGGGTCATTTTCGGGTCAGGCGCGTAATTTCCAGTGAAATTCGTAACCTCAAGGCAACCTGCGGGTCTCGGCCGACTGAACTTGACCTGTAAGTCACCTTTGGGTGAGGTACAGGAAACCTTGTAGTCACCTTGGGGTGAGTAATTTCGCTGGGTCAGCCTAGGGTGGGCCACATTTTGCAGATGAGGTGCATCAGCTCCCACGCCCTCAAGCACGCGTCCCTGTCGTGGTTATTCCGCGTTTGCTTGTGCAGCTGCGCGTACAGCTCGTCCCGCATCTCTGGCTTCCCAAGGACCACCTTGAGGATGCGAACCACTGTCTGCGCCAGCTCACGCTCGTCGGTGACAGGCGCGCCCTTGAGCCCCATGTAGTGTAGAATCTCCTGGAACATTCCCACAGCTCTCTTCTGCAGGGCCGTGGGGAGCCGCGTGAGCGAGGTCGGGATGGGGTCCTGTGGGAAGGGGAGCAATGGGAGGTGCAGGAAGGACAGCAATGGGAGGCACAGAACGGTACACGGACGATTTCGTTGAAAGTGCACGAGACCGTTAGTATGCGGAGCAAGCTTGTGTGTGTGTGTGCACTGGGCATGTGTGTGTGCACTGTGTATGTGTGTGTGTGTCCACTATGCATGTGTGTGTGCGCGCTGTGCATGTGAGACTGTGTGCACTGTGCATATGTGTGTGTGTGTGTGTGTGTGCACAGTGCATGCGTGTGTGTGTGCACTGTGTATGTCTGTGTGCACTGTGCATATGCGTGTGTGACTAGATCACTGCTCGTATGTGAACGAACACGCCCACGTAGCAACTTCAGTGGACCAACTTGGCAAAAGAAATTAAATAAATTATATAAATAAGTGTTTATATCACCCTCTAGCCCCGGATCCTACGCTCTGGAAGCTGAGCATGACTTCCAAATTCGTCTGGTCTGAGCCGTCGTGCGCGCCAGGAGCTCCAGCATGGTGTTGCCGGTCCAGGAAGCTGCTACTGGCGACGACGGGCTGTCTCTGAACCGCCTCAAGGTAACGCTCTACGATGTACAGCTCGCTGATGGGGAATTTCGCGAGGCTACTCCCTGCGGCCGGCCTGACGGGTGAGGGAGAGAGAAGCACACACGCACGGACAGACGAGCAGGCGCAAAAGACGAGTACGATGAGTAGAACAATAAGTCTGAAAGTCTGACGGAACTGCAAAGTTAATCAGAGAAAGGAAATTAACAGGAGCGTTGGCAAGCGAGTGCGAGGTTGATAAACCTCCACGCACTTCTCTGCAATGGTCGTTTTCCCGCCATGGTTCGCGGCATCCATCTTAGATCGCAGGTTAAGGTGTCGCGAGTCTGGTCCCTGACTCCAGAGGAAACTCTATCTTTTATCTTGGAGCTGCAGCTCTACTTCAGGCTTGGCTTTCAGCTAGTTTCCAGCGAGAGTTCAGGATTCAGCAGCGAAAGCCTGAAACCAGGCTCAAGGAATTTACGACGGAACACCTGCGGGCAATCCTCCAGCAAATCCCTCGGGAATCGTCCAGGACCTCGCTCAGGACATCGATAATGCGCTTCGAAGGCTCAGAAGGTCCAGCGAGAGTTCAGGACTTCGGAGCGAAATGAGCCCGAAAACTAGGCTCAAGGAATTCAGGACGGGAACACCTGCAGGCAATCCTTCAGGAAATCCCTTGGTGGCACCGGCAATGCGCTTCGGAGGCTCAGAAATCATCATTTCGTAATAGTAGAAATCAACACCTGTGATTACACAGGTGAACAACAAATTACGTAGGGACATCATTTACGTCCAGAGAATAAATCTTCTCTGCAAATTCGCTAAACCTAAATCCAATTCCAACTTCCAGAGGTTATGGACGATTTCTACAAAGACGCAGACTTGATTCTCCAATTATCACAGTTTCCAATGATGCAGACGAAAAATTTCCAGTCCGAACAGTGATAGTATCAATATTACAATTACCATGACCTGCAAAAATCATTTGTGTTCCTGCTGAAAGCTTACTGCTCTGAAATTATACTACCAAAATAAATCTCATCAACACTACAAGAACACATCAAGGTTCCAATGAAGTTTAGGGATACCGGTATGCATGAGATGGTAATACATCCCTGAGATGCAACAACGCTCAACACAGGGCCGCTAGCAGAGATTAGTCGTGAGAAATTTAATATTAAAACCCAACAGAGCTTGCAGATTGGGTGGATAACATACCTGGCTTTGCATCTGAAAGTGATTCAAAAAAGCATGTCCATGCTTTTGGTACCGAGAGACACCACGGCGACACATGTCGATAAGGACTTCGGCGCAAAGCTAACCAGGAAATCTGCAAACATACAAACTACAGACGTAAGTTCTGCTACATTACTAAAGACCTGACGAGACAGGGCGATAGCGAAGGAGATTACTTCGTTGGCAAATTCCCTTTTCTGTATCGTAAGCACGTGCTGCAAAACAGAGGAATAAAAATCGAGGTTAATTCTTGTTACAATCTCGAAAACAAAAGGAAGCGATAGCGCAGCGAAATAAAAAGGTGCTTCTTCGACTCTTAGGGTGCTAGGGTGCTAAGGAAAACATCCAAGATAGAAATTCGAGACTAAGGCCACGGTTCCAGACTTGTCCGCCCGCCACCCGGTGACGTGTAAACACACCCGATCATTGGTCATCACTCAAGTTTCCAGATATCTTATAGCATGGAAGCCAATCAGACGTGTACTTTCGTCTACACTTGTCCATACTTCTATGGCGGGCGAACTTCAGAACCGTCATCTACGGACGCAAAGAAGACTAACTGGAACGAAAACTAGCAGATTGTAGGGGGAAGAATAGAAACTAGAGAAACTGGAACGAATGGAGGGAATGCCGAGGATACAACATATATTGTCACTGCTCCAGCGCCAGCCACTGCCAGATTGCTGCAGAGGTGTCGTTAAAGCCCAAGACCTGAATTACTCAACGGAAGTCAACGCCAAAAAACTAGGTTCGGAAGGCAGCCAGAGGGAGGTTCGGTTGGGTTGCGAAGCCCTTTCACTCGCGAAACCAGTTTGCGACAAAGTTGTGTCGCTTCAAAGAAGACTTGTGATGGATGGTGTGCCTCCCACAACAACCAGAGTTGAGCGTGCGTACCAAACTGTGCACACTTTGACAATCCTAGCATGCAGACTAAAACTAGGCATAATATAGAAAACGTGCAGGCAGGGCGTGACCGTTGACTCTAGAGGGATCAAGGCGCGATGCGATGGTGTAGGATGCGGAATGGGAGTTCGAAGCGTAAGGATATTGTGCGGCGTGCGATGAGATATGGTGTAGAATGCAGGGTTCGCATAACCCACACGTTTGGCCAAGCGTAACCATCCCCTCGCCCTCGCTTTCCTTTCCCCAGGTCCGACGCTTCCTCTGTCCGTCACCCTCGTCGTCGCCTTCGCTTCCGCAGCCCGTCGCATTCGCTTCCCCCGCTCGTCGCCACTTTCGCTTTCGGATGACCGTTGCCTTCTTATCCCACCCGTCGCCTTCGCTTCTTCCCCCCCGTCGCCTTCGATTTCCCCGCGCGTCGCCTTCGCTTCCCCCGCGCGTTGCCTTCGCTTCCCCCGCGCATCGCCTCACTTCCACCGCGCGTCGCCTCGCTTTCCCCGCGCGTCGCCTTCGCTTACGCGCCCGTCGCCTTCGCTCACCTCCTTCCGTCGCCTTCGATCCCCCCCTGCTGATTCTTGCTTCCCCGCCCTTCGCTTTCTCTACCCCTCCCATTGCCCGTCTTTATTTCCTCCATTCCCCCACCCTACGTTCACTCTCACCAACATCCTCGCACACAGAAATACCTCTTTCCGTGTTCCCCATTCCTCTCTTCCCCTGTCCCATCGTACCGGCCTCCCAGCCTACCCAACTCCGCACCCCTCCATTCCTCGCTCGTTCTCCCCTCCTCTGCCTCCGATCCTCCCATTCTCTTCACTTTCGCCCTCCGTCCTTCTTCTCGTCCACCCTGCTCTCTCTCCTCCCCCCTGCTCACTCTCTTCCCCCCACCTTCACTCTCTTCTCTCCTGTTCACTCCCATTCCCCCTGCTCACTCCCCCTGTCCTCACCCCACTTTCCCCCTTTCTCACCCATTTTCCCCCCTCTCGCCCTCTTCCCTCCTTTGCTCGCCACTCTTTTCCCCGGCTCACTCCCTCACTCCCATGCTCACTCCCTTACTCACATGCCCACTCTCTTCCCCCTCTGCTCACTCTCTCCCCCTCTGCTCACTCTCTCCCCCTCTGCTCACTCTCTCCCCTTCTGCTCACTCTCTCCCCCTCTGCTCACTCTCTCCCCCTCTGCTCACTCTCTCCCCCTCTGCTCACTCTCTCCCCCTCTGCTCACTCTCTCCCCTTCTGCTCACTCTCTCCCCCTCTGCTCACTCTCTCCCCCTCTGCTCACTCTCTCCCCCTCTGCTCACTCTCTCCCCCTCTGCTCACTCTCTCCCCCTCTGCTCACTCTCTCCCCCTCTGCTCACTCTCTCCCCCTCTGCTCACTCTCTCCCCCTCTGCTCACTCTCTCCCCTTCTGCTCACTCTCTCCCCCTCTGCTCACTCTCTCCCCCTCTGCTCACTCTCTCCCCCTCTGCTCACTCTCTCCCCCTCTGCTCACTCTCTCCCCCTCTGCTCACTCTCTCCCCCTCTGCTCACTCTCTCCCCCTCTGCTCACTCTCTCCCCCTCTGCTCACTCTCTCCCCCTCTGCTCACTCTCTCCCCCTCTGCTCACTCTCTCCCCCTCTGCTCACTCTCTCCCCCTCTGCTCACTCTCTCCCCCTCTGCTCACTCTCTCCCCCTCTGCTCACTCTCTCCCCCTCTGCTCACTCTCTCCCCCTCTGCTCACTCTCTCCCCCTCTGCTCACTCTCTCCCCCTCTGCTCACTCTCTCCCCCTCTGCTCACTCTCTCCCCCTCTGCTCACTCTCTCCCCCTCTGCTCACTCTCTCCCCCTCTGCTCACTCTCTCCCCCTCTGCTCACTCTCTCCCCCTCTGCTCACTCTCTCCCCCTCTGCTCACTCTCTCCCCCTCTGCTCACTCTCTCCCCCTCTGCTCACTCTCTCCCCCTCTGCTCACTCTCTCCCCCTCTGCTCACTCTCTCCCCCTCTGCTCACTCTCTCCCCCTCTGCTCACTCTCTCCCCCTCTGCTCACTCTCTCCCCCTCTGCTCACTCTCTCCCCCTCTGCTCACTCTCTCCCCCTCTGCTCACTCTCTCCCCCTCTGCTCACTCTCTCCCCCTCTGCTCACTCTCTCCCCCTCTGCTCACTCTCTCCCCCTCTGCTCACTCTCTCCCCCTCTGCTCACTCTCTCCCCCTCTGCTCACTCTCTCCCCCTCTGCTCACTCTCTCCCCCTCTGCTCACTCTCTCCCCCTCTGCTCACTCTCTCCCCCTCTGCTCACTCTCTCCCCCTCTGCTCACTCTCTCCCCCTCTGCTCACTCTCTCCCCCTCTGCTCACTCTCTCCCCCTCTGCTCACTCTCTCCCCCTCTGCTCACTCTCTCCCCCTCTGCTCACTCTCTCCCCCTCTGCTCACTCTCTCCCCCTCTGCTCACTCTCTCCCCCTCTGCTCACTCTCTCCCCCTCTGCTCACTCTCTCCCCCTCTGCTCACTCTCTCCCCCTCTGCTCACTCTCTCCCCCTCTGCTCACTCTCTCCCCCTCTGCTCACTCTCTCCCCCTCTGCTCACTCTCTCCCCCTCTGCTCACTCTCTCCCCCTCTGCTCACTCTCTCCCCCTCTGCTCACTCTCTCCCCCTCTGCTCACTCTCTCCCCCTCTGCTCACTCTCTCCCCCTCTGCTCACTCTCTCCCCCTCTGCTCACTCTCTCCCCCTCTGCTCACTCTCTCCCCCTCTGCTCACTCTCTCCCCCTCTGCTCACTCTCTCCCCCTCTGCTCACTCTCTCCCCCTCTGCTCACTCTCTCCCCCTCTGCTCACTCTCTCCCCCTCTGCTCACTCTCTCCCCCTCTGCTCACTCTCTCTCCCCCTGCTCACTCTATTTCCCCCTGGACTCACTTATCTTTCCCCCCTGTTTACTCTCTATTCCCCTTCGTTCAACCCTTTCTCCCCACAATCCCTCTCACCACCCCTGTTCACACCCCTTGTTCCCCCCTGCTCACTGGCTTTCCCCTTTGCTCACCCCCTTCTCCTGCCTGCTGACTATATTTCCCCCTTTGCTCACCCCCTTCTCCTCTCTGCCCACTCTATTTCCCCCTTCGTTCACCCCTCTGCCCTGTCCACACCTCCCATACATGCCCTTCTGTACCTCCAACCTCCAGCCCTCGCTTATTCGCCATATCCCCTCTTCCCTCCCCATTCCATCGCAGAACCATGCTTGTACATGTGCCCAGCACCATGGGTCCCAACAGGAGTGGGTTGAAAAGTTATCACCTCTTAGATTTGTGCTTGTGCCTGTAGTCCACCCTTGGCAACCTTTATGTAAACGTAATTTGCTTTGTTGCACTTGCGGTGGTCATGTGCATTTATGCTCCGAATCACATAGTGGTGTATTATGAGAAGCATCCAACATCAGTATATGATGTAGCTAACAGCAAACACAACACAACAGGATGTATAGCAGACCTGCACAAACACAAACCACGAACTCTGATGTGTCAAAGTTGGGAGCAGCAGGGTTGGATATGAAACGACGACAATGGTAAGGCAAGAAGGCAGGGAACCATCCATGCATGGAGAACATGAGCTAGGGAGACACAGAGGAAGGGAAGAAAGGGGGGCGATATGAAGCGTGGGTGGAAAGGGGGGAGAGAGCGGGGAAAGGAACTGAGGCAGAGGATTGGGGGGAGAGAAATAGATGAAGACAGGAAGGGGAAGTAGGAGGGGACGATGTTGGGTGGGAGGAAGGGAGGATGAAAGGGAGGAAGGGAGGATGACGGGCGGATGAGAGAAAGGGCGGATGAGAGGACATGGGGATGAGAGGACATGGGGATGAGAGGACATGGGGATGAGAGGACATGGGGATGAGAGGACATGGGGATGAGAGGACATGGGGATGAGAGGACATGGGGATGAGAGGACATGGGGATGAGAGGACATGGGGATGAGAGGACATGGGGATGAGAGGACATGGGGATGAGAGGACATGGGGATGAGAGGACATGGGGATGAGAGGACATGGGGATGAGAGGAAGGGTGGATGGGAGAAAGCGAAGGGGGAAAGAGGGAGAAAGAGAGGGACGAAAGAGGGAGGAAAGAGTGTGACCGGGTACAATGGGGAAGGTAAAAGGGTGAAACTGACACGCAGGGTTGGAGCGAGGAAGAGAGTAGGAGAGCGGGAGATGGAAAGAGGAAGGGGTCTGGATCGAGGGGGGATGAAAGAAATGTGAGAATGGTAGGAAGGGAGAACGGAAGGAAGGGAGGGAGGGAGGACGGGCGACAGAGAGGGGAAAGAGGGTTGTAAGGCAGAGAGTGTGGGAGAGATGGAGGAAGGGAGGAAGAGAGAGGGAGAGGACGACGACTGGGGGAACGAAGGAACGGAGTAAGGGAGGAGGGTAAGAGGTAAAAGTGCGGCAAGGTATAAGGGTGGAACGGGGGATAGGAGGATCCCTGCACCCTCTCTCCCTACCCCCCGCCTCCCCCGCTCCCCTGCCCCGCCTCCCCCGCTCCCATGCCCCGCCTCCCCCGCAACCCTGCCCCGCCTCCCCCGCTCCCCTGCCCTGCCTCCCCCGCTCCCTTGCCCCGCCTCCCCCGCTCCCCTGCCCCGCCTCCCCCGCTCCCCTGCACCGCCCCCCCACTCCCCTGCCCAGCCTCCCCCGCTCCCCTGCCCAGCCTCCCCCGCTCCCTTGCCCCGCCTCCCCCCGCTCCCCTGCCCCGCCCCCTGCAGCATTGCGCTCATTGCTGCCCGCCTGCACGCGCTGCCCCAGCTGTGCACCCAGCACTCTGCTCCAAAGCCGCAGCAGCACCTGCCATGCGTGCGCGGTTGGTGCAAGAGAGAGGAGGTTGGCGCAAGGGAGAGGAGGTTGGCGCAAGAGAGAGGAGGTTGGCGCAAGAGAGAGGAGGTTGGCGCAAGAGAGAGGAGGTTGGCGCAAGAGAGAGGAGGCAGGGTGGTGGTGTAAGAGTAGAGAGAGTGGCAATGGGAAGAGCGAGAGAGACCCATTGAGTCAAAGGGGAAGGGAAGCAACGACGAACCAAAATACGATAGGAATGGATGAGAGGGTGGGCGGCGTGGGTGGAGAAGCGATGGTGATGAAGAGGGGGAACGTGATAGGCAGGGGAGTGATGGCGACGTGGAGAGAGGCGCGAGGGAAGGGAGGTCGGCGGTAAGGGAAATTTCCAGGCGACAGGGAGGGCTTGAGGTGGGAGGGGAAGCGCGGGCGACGGTGGGGGAAAGCGTGGGCGACGGTGCGGGGAAGTGTGGGCGACGGTGGGAGAAATCGTGGGCGGCGGTGGGAGAAATCGTGGGCGACGGTGGGAGAAATCGTGGGCGACGGTGGGAGAAATCGTGGGCGATGAGCGGCGATGCGTGAAGGTGGGGGAAGGCGCTCGCGATGGTAGGGGGAAGCGTGGGTGAAGGCAGGAGGAAGCGTGAGCGGCGGTAAGGGGAAGCGTGAGCGACGGTGGGGGAAAGCGTGAGTGACGATGAGGGAAAGCGTGGGCGTGTGCGTGGGGGGTATGCAAGAGACAGTTGGGGGAAGCGCGGGGGACGCGGAAGACGATAGGGCCAAATGCGATATTTGCAGAAGGGCGATGCCAGTGCGACCGAGTGCGGAAACGTGATATGGCCTCGCGTTGCTGTCATGCCGATAAGCTACAACCAGAAAAGTAGTAGAGGTCTCAATATCGGCCGTAGGAGAGATTCGTCTGGAGTTCTAAATAAGCCGTATGATGGCTAAGAATAAAGGCGGAAGTGCTCATGGCCTATGCTTTAGTGGCTTCTTTTTCTCTCTTCGCATGAGGAACTCGCATACTACGGGTAAAAGCACGACCTGAATTACCATTTTTGCAAACTGTGCACATTTTGAGCCCTTGTTCTTGTGGGGGGGTGTGGTTGGGGCTCTCGCCAACCAAACCTCTTCTGCTCCACGACTTTGTGTTTTTTGGCGGGATGTTTTCTGGTAACCAGCTTGGCTCGGGAGGTCAACTCTGGGTTCGGTAGGCAAACTGTGCACAGTTTGCCTACTCCTTTTTGTAATTCAGGTCTTGGGCTTTAACTGCTGTTGGTGTCAGTAACACCATAAACGAGTGGAACGCCCTACGTGGAATAGTGTGGCGAGCTGAGTTGGAATTGGAACACGTTAGCAATTCCAACAACAGCCTCGGAGCTCGCCAGCACTACGTATCGGACCCATCTGCTGAAGTTTGCAAGTCGCCATTTGAAAACTGACACCTGTCGGGATTTCTGCGGTGATAAAACCAATCTCACCTCGCCAGTGAGTGACTGAACAGAAAGTAATAAAATCAAATACACAACAGCGGAACAAAAACCTGCAATTTCATAAGCAAATTAGCCATTGTTATTCCATGCAGAATAGAAGGGTACAACAGAATCAACGCGGTCAGTCATTGCAGCATATCAGACAGGAAAGTAGACCGCCTAAACTTCACTAATATTTTGTGACCAGATAGCCTTGCCCAGCCTGCTACATCATGGCCAGAGAAACATGTGCTAAGGGGATTGGACACCACATGCACCAAGCGTCAACATGCAGCAGCAGCAGAGCCATGTAAGAAGTCTCAACACAAGCATGCTCACACGCACGGCTTTCTGCTCTGGCCTCTGGGGGTTAAAGCCCCCTTTCCTCTCCACTGAACCACCGAAGGGATTATACAGCACCCTTTTCCCCTCAGCCAACCAAGAGGTCTCAGCCCGCTTCCCTCTCACCACCCACCCACCCAAGGGGTCTTATCAGTCCCCTTCCATCTCAACTGCACAATCAAGAAATTTCAACCCCCTACCCTCTCAATAACCCACCCAAAGAGTTATCAGCTCCCTTCTCTCACACTCCCCCACCCAAGGGGTTTCAGACCCCTTTTCTCACTCATCCACCCAATGACATCCACTGCTTGCAGTCGGTTAAGACATGGACAGCACAGCTAGACAGCATCAACCATAATGAAGAGTTGTCAGTGGCGGCACAGCAAGACGATGAGCCGTCTTCAAGCACACCCACATTAAACTCCCATACGTGCCAGGCCCAATGCTCCGGCCAGTCCTGCATTTACATTCTACATCTGGAATTTGTGGTCGGTGGGAGTTGCGTAACACTCATGAGAGATTGTTAAAGAGGCTGCGGTTCAAAAAGAGAGATGACGGTTGCTGCTGACCCTGCTGCTGCTGACCCTGACCTAACAACATATTGGATTGCTGCTGCTGCTGCTGTTGCTGCTGCTGCTGCTGCTGCTGCTGCTGCTGCTGCAACAAAGCCAAAAGCTGCTGCTGTTGCTGCTGTTGTTGCTGCTGCTGCTGCTGCTGCTGCTGCTGCTGCTTCTGCTGTTGCTGCTGCTGCTGTTGATGCTGCTGCTGCTGCTGCTGCTGTTGCTGCTGCTGCTGCTGCTGCTGTTGCTGAGCAGCCAGAAGTGCCTGTACAGCTTGGGGCTGGCCTTGCAAGAGCTTTAGCAGCTGGCCGAGCTGACCATCAAGTGAAGCTGCAGGCTGGTGGGGGGAGAGCGGGGAGGGCGGCCCTTGGGCACCAGCAGCAGCAGTAGCAAGAGCAAGGGAATTGGAGGCGGCAGCGGTGTTGGGGAACTGGGAGAGCGGTGGCAAGCCGGCTGCTGTTCGCAGCATCTCCACCTGGTCGTGCAAGTGCTTGTTCTCCACTGCACACACACACACACACGCCATGCACCGCAGGTCGGACAAGCAAGGTGAAGCCCAGGGGAATGCGTGAATGGATGAGATGAGATACCCTGGAATGAGCTTCACGCGCAATGGCAATGACTGGAGAGTGAAAATGGCAATGAATGGAGAGTTGTAATGGAAAGCAGCAAGGTCATCACGCAGCACTTGCCTTCGCTCTGCTGGTACAGCTGCTCCAGCAGCTGCAGCTTCTTCGTCATGCCATCATTCGCTTCTGCCAGTGATGTCGTCTCCCTCTGCGGGGTGAAGCGTGTGGCATGAGGCACACATCCATGTTTGACTCTTTCCCCAAAGCCCTCTCTCTCCCTCCCTCCCTCCCTCCCTCTCCCTGCCTCTCTCTCACACACATACACGCACGCACACACACTGTTGCTCCCACCTCATAAGCCTTCACCAGGACCTCTTTTAGCACATAGAAATACAGTACGATTAACGCAACGAATTCCTTTCCACTGAACTCCACCAAACTACATGTACACAACCAAGTACGCACTTTAAGGGAGAGGAGAAGTGTGGTATAGGCGAGTGGGGGAAATAGAAAGAGGAACGCGAAAAAGGCGGAA